CAGTATGGCAAGCCAAGTGTCTCATTAATAGGTAAAAGTGGCTATTAATGAGACATTTGGCTTGCCATACCAAACCACCTTCATCTCGCTGTGGAACTCCTGGAACAAACGTCAAATCAGCTGCAAGTCACCGTTCCGCCCAGGTGAAATGCGGCTGATTTGAGTGTTAAAGTGCATTTATTAAGGAAACGTTCAACTGAGACACATCTTTGCTATAATTTTGAGCAAACAAAAAAATGTTTTTAAGTGTTAATCTTGTTAAATTCTTGTTAAAGTCCTCCTGTTCATGCTCCCGTGGCTGCCATTTTGCCACGTTTGCCACGTTTCCAGGTGGTCAGCAGTGACGCGTAATAGATGTGACTTATATGACGAAGTGACTTATTTATATTTTTTCCACTTTATTAGACATTTTTGGACTGATGCCACATATACGGCAGAAAATACGGTCTGCACTATGTTTTTATGCTGAATCTTTACAGAAGATGTTCAAGGATTTGCTGTGCTTCTGTTTTTGCTTTGTGTGTGCCTGTTCTGCATGAATGCAAAGGGTCTGGGATATTGCAAATCTAAGATTAAATTTCATTATCAGTTACTCTTTGCCTCAAACGAGAATGTTCCTGAAATACGTGGAATTTAATGACATTTTCTTTTTTAGTTAATGACATCAGTGTGGAACACAGGTGAATATTGTATGCTCAACGACATGTTGGCAACACCTCAAACAAATAATACAACATACCAAGTTATGATATGCATGCAGCTGTCTATGTCCCAGCATTCTGACCAATCAGCTGAGCTGTTAAAGTATTTTACGTAAGAGAACGCAATGGATGCTGCAGCAGTGCACACAATAAAGAAATTCATTAGCTGTTCTGAGTTCTGTCTTTGTAAAGGTAATTAAAACAATCTGAAGGTTATTTTTGAAGATATTTTTAGACCTCTCGAAGTATTACTGGGTATTGTTTGTGACCAAATGTATGAAATACAACTGTGTATGAGTTTATTGGTTCAAACATCTAAAGAACAACTGATGGATGGAGCCACAACACCACACACTGGGAGCCCCACATTGACATCAGTCTCTGAAGATCATAAGCAGTCCTCTATTGTGCACAGTTAGTGACCAATGTGGTAAATAAAAAGCAATAAAAACAGAAATCATTGTGTATAGATAATGGTATCTTAAAAATATTTAAAATTCCAGTTCTAGTTAAAGCCATATATGAACAGTATTATCTCTACATCTGACTTTTACACACTCAAGAAAGCCCAGAAATTAATTGTGTTGTCGCTTTCAGCTGTACAAACCAAAAAGTTGTACTGAATGGTACTGAGAGGCAGCCGATAGAGCCTGTTGTTGACGCCACTGAAGACGGATCGACACTGACCCCCAAAGCTCTTTGTGTTGATGACACTGCCTCTCGTCTTTCCGGTCACCACATCAAACCTACAGATGTAAAAGTATATATGTACATTAAACAGCCCTGTTAAACCTTCTACTGATAATGGATAAGTGGGTAAATACAAACTGTCAATTACCCAAGTCCAATCAAATCAATGTTAGGCGGAGTTATGGGTTGAACTCCACATATAATGTATTTGATAGCATCACAGACTCGTTCGTCGAGTCCGTCTCCTTCACAGTCCTGATCTCCGTTACACAGCAGAGACTTGCTGACACACTTTCCTGCAGGTCAAAAGACAAACTGAAAACTTAAGGATTGTGTTTTTCTTTTTTACTTATTTACTTTGCAGGAATATTCAAATGAGTAAAGTTTGATGTGTGACCTGATTGACAACGAAACCTGTCTCCACATCCGTCCTCCAAGGGGCAACCTTGCGTGGTTTCACAGGACCTGGTCTCCGTCCGCCCGCCATCGCAGGGGTTCCCACCAAACTGAACGTAGACAGCCATGGCCCGGCTTCTCGTCTGCAACAAATCACGATAAGAATAAAAAAAAATTATTAAAAACAATCTACAGGACTAAATTTTTACAGATGAGAAAAGGCCGTGTTTGACTTTTACCTGTAGTTTGGTGCACGGATCACATTCTGACCAACTGCCAAACGACCCCCACTGGCAATGAACCCTCTGAACACATTCCCTTTGAAATGACATGTTTTTATCAAGTCTTTCATAAAATACAGATTCAATAAATATCATTTAAAACATAATATCCCTGAGACAATAAACCAAATTTACCCTCTGGTTGTGAACAAGATGTACAGCCAAACTGTTGCACATAGTTGGATAAGAGTCTGCGAAAACAGGAAAGTGAAGACGACTAGAGATAAACACTGAAAACACACAAAGTAAAAGTTTATGCAAAACATTTGGAATTTCTTTTCTGTAAAGAACAAAATGTACTTGCCTTCATGGTGGCTGAAGTGAGACAAACAGAACAGAAATGTGCAGGGTTTTCTCTCTGTGGGCTGTGCTGGAAAAACGCCCTGAGGAATTTATTAAAACATAAAAAAAGATGTATTGTGAAATGAGTGTGTGTGTGTGTGCGCGTGTGGGGGGGGAACAGTAAGGCGAAGGGTCTCCCAAACACAAACACATGCAGAGTGATGGTGTAGGAGAGAAAGGAAACTATTTTTAAAGCTGCTCTGGCCAGAATGTTTGTCCAAAGAGTCATTCTGAAACTGAACACATTTTCTGGCAGAGAATGTTTCAGTGAAGGCAAATGAAAACTATGTTTATTTAAGAGTTGCACAAAGAACATCAAAACAACAAAAACTTAACAGCTTTTACTTTGTGACACCTCAAAGCTGTTGAAGATGTTTGAAAGGCTCTCTTTTTCTGCTCAACAATTATAGCAGAAGGCCTTAAAAGTTGTTTGTTTAAGAGTTTTCAACTTAAATTAATCAAAAAACGAGAAATAGTTAAAAACCTAAAGATTGATTCTTTGCAACACTGACATTTAAACCTGAATCGGTCACATAACTTTTCTGCTGCGCACATCAACGTGTCTAAAACACAACATCAACTGTGAGGGTAAAGCTGCTTTGCTACAAACAAGTTGCATAATATTTCAGCACAATCTTTTATTTAATTAATTGACTAAATGGTTTAGGTTGTGAAGACTGACGAGATGATAACCTCATGCAGAAAATGTGTACAAGAAGAAAAGAGTTGTATATATATATATATATATATATATATATATATATATATATATATAT